AATAACCTCCGATCGAAGGAAGACGTTGAACTTACAACTAGGTGACAATAGCCAAAAGATTTGTACTTTTAGACCCTCTCCGTTCCTCTTATAGTGGATTATTAACTTCAAAGTTATTTTACTGCTGGTGAGAGAATGAAGTTCAGGAAACTTGGCAAGATGGTTTGTTGTTCAACCTAGTCCGCCGAAATCTAATTCTCCTCCCCATTCTGAAGGAAGGTGAAGTCTCAAGTATGTTCTTACTATGAGTTATGGAAATCAAGCTGCTTTGTAATAGAAACCAAATATATTGAAATATATAAGGTAACAATATTACAATAAAACCACCAAGTAAGTTGAGACACTTGAATCTCCTCTCTTCAGATACCTCTTAAGCTCAGACTCACTAAACAATTTCTTACCTGCCTCCTTTTCCACCCCTTACTTTTATATCAAATCACCCTAACCATGCCCCTAACTAATTAGTAATATATCCGTTAACTCTAATAATAGTGCCACTTTCATCCTAATATCATTCCTATCACTTGACAAACTACTACTTGCATGCCTAGTTTGGCAGCATTTCCAACCATAGTCATCATCTTACCACCAACGCTTAACTGTGTGTAGCAATGGCACTAAGAATTAGTTTCTCCTCCAAACCACCACACCTTGTATAAGCTGTAGTTGTAGCTTTGATGTTGTTTCTATACCAAGAGACCCCCTTTAAAGTTGAAATGGAGGCAAGGACAATTTTTCAGTTTTCCTGACTCACTCAATTATTGAAACTCCAAATCAGGCCCCTTCCTCAAGGAATTCCTCAAAAACTTCTCAATGGGTACGCCCTGGTTTTTAGATATAATAGGACATTTGTAAAGGGATGCTGATGATGCTAATAAATTCATGTTCATGAGGAAAATTTTATTTTATGATTGATCTATTCATTTCTTCAAATTATATACGTTTCCAGCAGACACCTTTCAATAAATCTAGACCTATGCCTGATTATGCTTTCTGGACTCCTGGCATTCAATGATTTTTTAAGTACATTCTTTGGTGGCATATTCTTATGCATTGTTGGGTACGGTCACATAGTTTATATATATATATATATATAAGAAACCAAATATCAATTCATTTTTCCTGATCGATTTGGAAAAATTTTACAGTTTGATCAAAGGCAGAAGTCTATGGGACTCCCAACCAGTGATGAGATGCAAAAGCAAGATATTCTGAAGAAGTTCATGGCTGAGGTGATTATTTGAGCTGTGTCCCTGTATATGTTTGTGGTTTATAATATCTATTGCTTCTCTCTACTGACTCTGAAATTGATCCCATGCAGCATCCGGAGATGGATTTTTCGAGGGCAAAGATATCATAAATGGAAAATTTCTGCCTGATTTTACGTTATGCAGATAAGAGAACCCAAAAGAAAATTTATAGTTTCTGTTCAGAGGTGGCAATTTTTATATTGCTTTTGGGAGGTTTGAATTCTCGAGTTTTTTCTTTTCTTTTTTAATGTTTAGGGGGAAATGAGGGTCTTTTCTAGATTATGATGAGTAGTGTGATAACTCATCGTCTTTAATTCTGAACGGGATTTTGGTATGATGTATGTATGGAATCAAGTTAAACCATTTATTTTTCATTATAATTTAGATGGGCTTTCGGTGATGATTGGCAATAATCTATTATCGCAAAGTTCAAAGTTATTCTTTCTGGGTTTATGGGTATGGATATATCTCAGCGAAAACCAAGTTGAGATCCATAGAGCTATGAGTTTCATTTATTTTAACAGTGGTTGGATTCTATTAGGAAAAAAAAAACTGAGCAGTGTTATTTAGAAGATTGAAGAATATACATGACATATTTAGTTGTTTAGTTGTTTGTAGAGCTTGGTATTTCCAATCCAACAAAAGAATATTTAATACATTGGTAATTACATGAAATTAATTACTGCAGAGGATAAACTCTAGTAATATTTTGTCGACTGGGTTTTTTTTGTTCAATTTTGTATCCAAAGGTGGGCACGAAAGAACCGAACTACCTAGAAAGAGCCATGAAAGGGACTTTTAAACCAGGTACGTGTTGTTTCTTTTTAATTATTGGATTGGATGTATGTTAAAATATCATTTTAATTTATCTTTTCTACCTTCAACGGCGTAAAATTGCCAGCATGTAGTGTGTCTTTCAAATAATGGCCGTCGTCCCGAGGGCTCATGCCGACATGTGCCAACTCATCGCTTGCTAAGGTATTTGGGCTCTTCTCATTACTTTTTTGCAAGAAAATGTGAGTCCAACGGCCCTTTGTCATTATCGTGCAATAGGTCTATAATACCTATAAATGAAATGGTTCTCTCTCTGGCTAGTTTTAAAGGTACTTTACCTTGGAAACCTGTGCCCTGGGGGGACCTCTAATTCTCCTCCCATGTCTGAGGAGCTGGCTTGACTCTTGCCCTCTATTGACTTTGTACCAATAGCCTGCTTTTTGTAGCTGTGAGCCATATAACTAAACTGGAACACAACAGAATGGTATGCCTTGAAATCTCTGTCCCACATGCTTCCCGAAACGTCCCAAAATGATTCCTTCCTGTTTTTTCACCTTTCATCTTGGTAATTTAGTTGCATAAAAAGACCAGTAATAACAAATCTTATTGAACCATTCTGATAGAGTGAGACAGATGTTCTGTGGAGGTAGGCTGTAAAGTCCACAAAGTATGGCTTCAAAAATCTTGGGGATCTTTTATATCTAGATTAAAATGTTCCCACTTTTTGTTTGATAATATTCATTAACAAATAGATTAAAGGGCTTTGATGATTCAGCTTCTAGACATAATAGTTCCTTAGTTCTTGGGTTTCTTCCTGTCATTGAAAGGAGCCTACAAAAATCATCAAAACTGACTAAGACAGATTCTTGACGAACCCTTTCAATCTTCTCACAAATTTTGACCTCAATAAAGAAAATATTCCTTCACCATCCTTGTGAATCAGAGCTTAGATTTCCCCCTACTCATTGGATAGTTCTTCCAAATGCCAATTATTGAGTGATAAACAACCAGGATGCCATCCACCAATACAGAATTGAAAACCCTATTATTATCAAGAATTGCTTCATATCCATGATGTAAGAAGAAATTAGACAGAAGCACAAAAGCTGAACTTGACAAACTTCTGGATCTTTTCTTTGAATGAGGCAGGAAGAAACGAGAGGCAATTATGTTGAGAGTAGAAGAGTTTTCTTTTTAGCTATTTAGTTTCTAAGTCTTCAATGGACAAAAGTTCTTGCATTACTCACAATTGATGTAGACATCTTAGGAAGAAAGCATTACTCACAGTTGATTCAGAACCATCTCATCATGACTGAAGATTTTGATCATAGTAATGATTTACAACCAGAAAATATCAGCCATAACCTTGAAAACTAGAGTTTTCTTTAGAATGAGTGAGTCAGTTCAAGGCCCCAAATAGTTGAGGTTTAATTAACTGGGTCACCAGAGACGGCCATAAAAGTTTGCCTGTCATGGAAAGTGACTGCCATTTAATTCATATTTGTCCATGTCAGCAATTCAAAACTTGACACATGTAAAAGGCGACTTATCATTCTCCTAAAACAGACAAATTTTGTTCTATGGGACAATCCCACTACAGCTGTTCTTTTAAGCCACTTCCATAAGTTCTAACTTATTCCTCTTCATTTTTAACTTTCTCCCCACTCACAATGCACTAGTTTTCCTTGTTTGTTCTATGTGATTTCTGCTAATTTGTTGGCCCCACAGCTCTAGTTTTCCTTCTAAACCTACTTTACATCCTTTCACAATTGGTTTGATATTCAAACATCCAGTGTAGTGTTTAAGAACTCTTTTCTTTTCTCGAGTATGTAGACCAACCTGGTTGGAGCATTCGACTACGTTCATTCGATAATCATCTAATTCTATTGATGTTTCAAGAGAACTCATAGGTTATTATATCTAAAAGTAGTCGCCACTACAGCTTGAACACATTCCTCCCCTAACGAAGTTTTTGGTTTGACAACAAGAGATTCATATTACTGGTAAGAAGTCTCTTTACATTTCTACAATGGTGCGTTATTGTTCACTTTAGGCTAAGTTGATATAGATTTACTTTTAGATTCTATCTAAAATGTCCCGCACTATTCAATATATATATATATATATATATTTTTTTTTGGGCATTCAAAAGATAATGGAGGAACTTGTTAGTTGTGATTTGGGATGCAAAGATGGCAAAAGGATGAACCAAATGGACTCGATAACCTCCACTACCAATTTCATTTATTGTCAACCAAATTCAAAGTGGGTTTTCTAAATTGGGTTGTCTCAACCTAATTGCCACTCCCATTCTTTTCCACCAACACTTAGTTTTGGGTTTGCGTCATTTCATTGAAAATAAAGAAAACCAAATACAAAAAAAATAGAGATATTTAAGTTAGGAACTCCGGTAAAGAGATAGCTTATCTAGGAAAATCAGTAAAGAGAGATAGCTAACGTAAAATGCAAGGAGTAGCAGAATTCAATGATACATTGATTATAATCAAAATTAGTGATACCGATTGAGGTATTTAGTCCTTATATTTTTTTAGATATAAAAGTACTTGAAATTAAATGTAAATAACACCCCTCTCAATTATATAAGTTGATCTATTATGTCATATTTAAATCGACCCATATGAATCAAAATATACATACTTTATATGTAGTCTTCATATATTATATTTTATCAATAATTTTGTCAGAAAAATAATAAAAATCTTAATTACATCCTTTGTAAAGTGGAATTAAATCATTATTTAAAAAACCCAATAATTTAAATAGAGAAAAAAACAAATGAAATATATAAAATAATGATAGAGGACTCTTAGCACAATTTTGGACTTTAATATTATTCTTGGTTTGTTTATTTTTATGAAAAATTTATTTTTCTAATTTTTTAATATTAAAATTATTTTAAATTATTTGTTTTTTTTTCCCGCCGATTGAATTTTCCCCTCCGTCCTACCAACCTGCTCCCTCTCATGCTGCCATCGCCGCCGGCCGCCGTTTTCAGCCACCGTTTGTCGCCGCTGATCTCCGCCATCGACTGCATTCGCAAGGCGCGTGTTCCGGAGGGAGTTCCAGAGCTTTATTCAACCATAATTCCAGAGCTCTGTTCGTCGGGGGGAGTTCGCCCTCTGCCGCGTCGGTGCTCCTGGATTTGGGATTTTCCGACGCCGTCTGGATTAATAAGGGTCAGTTTATCTCGCTCAAACGGACGAAGTTTTATTCAGGAGCAAGCTCTCTCTTCCAGATTTTTTGGTGGGTGAAATCGAGCAGCTCCTCGACGGCGGCGGAATTGCGGCGGCGGTTATCTTTATCAGTTCTCCAATACCGATTGAATTCGCCGGTAGAGAGCCGAGTTTACTGAAATCTTCGTGTATTGAGCATTCAGGGCATGTTAATAAGCTGTTTTAATTGGGGAAGACAAGATAAGGAAAGAAAAAGAAGAGCAGGAGGTAAAAGAACAGTGGCGGTGGCGGCATGGCAGAATCAGCTGCGACAGAGCTGGTGGCAATGACAGCCATGGACAAAAAAGATCAATTTTTTTAATAAAATATGGGTGTGAAAGTTTATTTTACACCCATAATTAAAAAAAAGAAAATTACTAAATATAAATTTTAAATGCTTAATACTTAATATTACAAGAAAGTACATAAATTTGCCCCTTTTTTCCTCTCAGTTCCAAATTCCAATGCTTAAATACAAAACCCCACATGATTTTTTCAGTGCAGCTCTCAGTTAGTAACCTATTCTCCTGGGGAACTGGAGAAGCAAGGGGTTTTCTTCTCTTGTTCTTCAAAGCTATGGAAATGTATGCTGAAACAGAGCATTTGCTTCCTTATTTCCAGAGTTACTCTGAATTAGCAAAGGATTTCCGCAAAACCCACAAGCTTGATTCTCCACTGGTACTCTTTTCTCCTCTGTACACTCTCTTATTTCTCATTTTTTGCTGTTGGGCTGCATTATTTTGGATGATTATGATCTGGGTTTGAGCTTAAACTTGATTATGCTATCCACTGTTTGGTTCCTGAGAAAATGGGAAAGAAAGTACTCAGAAAATGGCAAAGGGAAGTAGTTTGAGTTTGCTTTACATGATGGATCTGGAAAAGGATGGGTGAAAAAGGCAAAGAAAAAGAGATTAAAAGAGAAAAGTTTCTTTTAAGTTCCCTGCTTCAATCATTCTTCCCTTTTTCAGTCATTTAATTTCATTTGTTTCTTGTATTTGGTAATGTTTATTTCTGTGAGTATGTTTAACTCTGAGATATCTGCAAATCCCAGTTTTATTATGCGAAAAGGAAGCTCTCATCAGAGCTTTTCCACCACTTTTTTCACTATAAATACTCAGCCTTAGCTAAATTCTTTGTTTTACTTTACATTTCTCCAATGATTTGTGTTCATTTGGCTGAATTTTACAGGGTCTTTCTATTGAAATAGTTCTTATTCCTTATCTTACCTTCATAGAAAATGTTCATCTTACCCCTTAAATGATTTGCTCTTTTTGCCTTGGGACCATGAAATTTTGTTTCTAACAAAACACTTCTAATGCAGAGCTACATGGTTCAGACATCAACTGTATATGAATACAACATGGGCGGTGAAGGTGATCTATTCAAAGCTCCAGAGCCAATCATCGAGGAATCATTTTCGGGTATCAATCCGATGATGGCTGCAATTTCGATGATGTCCTGTGGCAACACCAACATCTCCTTGGAGGGACTTAAAGATGCTGATTACTTTTTTAGTTCAAAAGATGTTGATTTGCTTCAAAATGATCAGCTCTTGAGTGAGGTTTACTATGAGTATGAGAAGGAACTCTTAGAAAAAGGAGCAATGCAAACACCACTGTCTGAAGTTTTCGATTTTAAGAATAAAATGTCAAAGACAGACGAAAACGAGCCAGATTCTGATGCAATGCTTCAGAACAGTGTAAGCTCGGGATGCTTAAGGTCGATGGACGGGATGCAAGGCCCTGCAATGAAGTCCAGTCTTGTGGATTTTAGCGGAGTGGATGTCGGTGAGGCCTACAGGATGCGACGGGCATTTAGCGAAGGCGATATCAAGGTCAGGTTTCATTTCTAACTCAGTAATCAACAAGTTCCTTATATGTTGTTGAACTGTTTAACAGTTCGAAACTGGAGCGTTCAGAAACTGAAACAGGAAGAATGTTCATGACTCAAGTACCATAAACATAGAAATGTCTATAAGTTTTCTTTAATCATTTTCACAAGTTGAGGTTTTGCCATTGATTCTAGACTTCTGCTGCAGACTCTTAGTAATGGCAATGGGAGCCAATTCTATTCTCCTCTCGAGCCACCGCCGCTGCTGGTCAGCAATTGCACCGCCGAAGAACGCAAAGAAAAGCTCTCGAGATACCGAAGTAAGAAGACCAAAAGGAACTTTGGCAGAAAGATCAAGGTAACTAATTTATATGAGAATCAATATCCAGTAAGCATGTTCATCAAGTTAACTTATCTCATTCATTTCTTTCAATGGATTCCAACTTGTTACACACAATTCATTACAAAAACATAAAAAACAATCATCAAAATACAATAATATCTTGAATTCATACATATTAGACGAAGTAGCCCATGAGATCATAAGATTATAGCTAAGAACAACAGAGTTTTTGTTGTCAGTATGCTTGCAGGAAGGCTCTAGCTGACAGTCAACCAAGAATCAGGGGAAGGTTTGCCAGGACTGAAGAAGCTGAGATGAGGAGGTAATGAATAATGATAGATATTATGATGAAAAGGTAGTGGTTAGAAGAAGTGTCTGAATGTGCAATTAGTTAAGTTTAGAAGGGCTGAAATGAAAATGTGTAGAAGATATAGGTTTGTAAATGGTGTCTGCTTACACTTCTAATTATGCCTTCTAATAACATTGTCTCAAGCAATGTTCTTCTTCATTTTATTGCAACTCAAACTGTGTGGAGTTTGTAAATATGAGTTCTCCTAGGAGACTCCTAAATAAACAAGCCACATAAGTTTCTCCTTTGATGTAAATATTTGTATTTTATTCACACTTATGTTCCAACCCTTCTCGGGAAATTCCATTCACAAACGCGAAGTTTATGGCTAATTGATATGAGACTTGCTACGCTTTTTCTTGGTCTTATTCAAAATGTCTGACATCAATGAAAGATTTTCCCTTCTATTAGCTCATAGACATTTTGTTCAAAGCCTCGATGATAATTGTTCACACATTTGACTCTAGGAATTTGCAGCTTGTTCTCAAATGTGATATTTTCTCGAGTTCTTGAATGTAAAGTTGTCTTTAGGGCTTTGCAAATTAAATTGTGTTCTTGAGATCAGATTTTCGTTAACTTTTGTCTTGTAATCTCTTTAATCTTTATAGATAAATGAGCACTAAAAGACTTGTGATAAGAAAACAATACTTATTAAAGTTATATCTTCTTAATGGAATGCTCTTTATTCTTAAAAAAGCATTTTCACCTACTAATTCATTATCCTTTGCAAGGTACAAGATAAAATACATGACTATTGATTTTATTTAACAATTTTGATAAAGATAATCTAAAAAACACAAGGATAAAAAGAACCTATATGGAAAGGAGAAAAATATTCTTTGACCAAACTAAACAATATGGTCGGTTTGGTTTAGATCAGTTAGGTTGATTTCATCCATTCAATCCGCACAGCATTGGTCATCGTAACCTCCAATTTATTACTTCTCCATAAATAATGTATCGTTCTAAAAAAATAGGACTTTGTGTAATAAGTTTTTGATATTCAACAACCGCTGTCAAAAAATAATCGCAGAAATCCAAACATTTATCTATCCATCTATGAGGTAGATCAGCCATGACTTCCCCGATGCAAAAGAAAAAAAAACGACCCTTTAATCTTGAGAAAAACTAGTAAATGCTACTATCTCAATTCTAACAAAAGATGACGTGATGATAAAGTAACTTACTTGACTTCCTGCCCAACTAGTTTGATTGGTGCAGGCCAACACTTGTCAACCCGCCCGCCCACGATGGGCGAAGAAAAACACAAAACATTCTATTTTTAAAATCAAACTCAAATTCACTAAATTCCATAAATATATATTTATAATCATTAAAAAAAAGTTTAAAAAATTAACAATACTCATTTAAAAAAATCTCTCTACTTTCAAAAATTGACTAATAGCTTTAAACTTTAAGAACCGTTGGAACACTCTTCTATTAATATATGAACAAAAATCGTTTATCTACATTATATTTACTCAATCATGTAAAAGGTGAGTGTAAAATAAAAAAAACACTAAAATGATCCAAACGTACACCAATTAACATTCATAATCTCGTTAAATAACTATTTTTTTCAAAAAAAAAAAAAACTTATAAATACACTTCTTTAAATTTTTTATCCACTTTTAATAAACTAAGCCAAATTTTCGTAACTAAAAAATATAGTTCTCAAAAATTTATTTTTGTTTCTTGAAATTGACTAACAACTCAAATGCTTTGTCAAGAAAGATACAATTTTCAAAAACACAAATAATTATTAAATGAGCCTAATTTTTCAGCAACAATCAAATAAAAAAATTGAAAGAAAAAAAACTATTTTTTTAACGTTTAAATTCCAAAATGAACAAAACAAAAAGAAAACTATGCCAAAACTAATAAAATAGCCTTATAAGGTAGAGTTATAAGTTCTTATGGCTTTGTTTTTTGCTTCTCTAAAAAGTTTCATACCAATAGAGATAGTATTCTTTGATTATAAACTCATGATTATTCTCTAAATTGGCTGATATAAGACTTTCATCCAAAAGAGAAAACTCAATGGAGACAGAAAACAACATCATGAAAATACAAGAAAAAAAAAATGTTGAAATTAAAATCAGACAAAACGACAATAATAAAGAATGATCTAATGAATATCTGAAGTTATTTAGATTACCTTATGAAGGTCGAAGTTTCCCCAGTCTGCTAATCCGTTTGGCTCCTGAAAATGGACATCTTCCATGGACAGAGTTATTAGCTATAACCACACAACAACAAAGGAATCAAAAAACAAAACAAAAAAAACCTATGAAATACGATGCAGAACAGTAGGAAATTTTATTCCTTGCAGGAACATAAAGCAACAATAATAGAAAGATCAATAAACGTAACTATGAAATATGAAAAAGCAGCGATATTTAAATTGTTTCAATGTGTACTTTCAGGAGAATGATGTATCTGACTCAAAATTAAAGCCTCAGACCCAATTGACACAGCAGCCATTAACCCCCCCTCCTCCTCCTCCTCACACCCCTCCCCTATTTCATCTTCAAAAGATAAAGTTGCATTCTCAATACAAGATTTACCAACTCCACATCGCGTTGAATCTTTGCCCTTCACAATCCCCTTCATCTCGATGTTACTCAATTTGTCGGTGTCGTTGACTGGTATGTTGTCAACTGGTACAGCAATTGTATCCTTTTCGGCGTCTAAGTTTGCCTGCTGCTGCTCCTCCAAAGCCATCGTAACCACTTTGGTTGAATTGGTAACTGGCAACGACTCCTCTGGGTTTTCAGGACACTTCACCACTTGACTGGCAGTCGTTGAAGCCAAATCCTCCAATTCCCCCGATGCATCAGTCGCCTCAACTTCCTTATCGCTCGCGGTTATGATAGATGGCTGTGCTATTTCCTCATCAACAGTTGAAACAGGAGCCTTAACTTCTTCATTATTGAAATTGACGCCGTTCTCTTCAAGTCTCCTCTCAGAGGAAGACGTTCCCTCAGAATCGACTTGCATCCCCTTCACTTCAAGTGTCCTTTCAGAGGATGCCTTTCCCCTAGAAATAACCCGCATATCCTTCATTTCCATTCTCTGCTTTTTGTACAAGTCCATTGCGTGCTGCAAAATATTTATACCACAGTTATTACAAGCTATATTAACTTTTGAGCATCATTCTTGGCCAAGAATCTAAGTCTATGTTTTACGAACATAAAGTAGCATAGTCATCACAGGTCTTTTTTCCCATATTTTGTCGAGAGAGAAAAGAAAGGGCCATCGAAATCCCTAGATCATACGCAAAGACTAACAACAGCTTCATAGTTGTTTAATATTTTATAAACATGAGAAAAACGGGCGTTCCAAATTGTACCCATCTTGCAGTCCCGAGAGTATCAAATATCTAAAACTAATATGAATACTAAAGCACCATAGACAACTTCAATCTCCTACACTTGAAGCAGGCACGTATTATACCTGAAAAACCGAGCTCTTGTTTAGATGGAGAAATGATTGATGCGCACTATTTGAAGAGATGGACACTGCTCCCATGCCACCCTGTCAAGAATATGATGTAAGTCATGACTAATAATTAAATTCTTATAATTATGAGAAAGGCATAAACAAACATATGTTGTCCAGGACTTTACCTCAAGTACTATGTAAGAAACAGTTTCCTCATCTGCAGTCGCGCAGTGCTCAATATCCATTAATCTCTGACACTGGTGGTACAAATCAGGATATGCAAGTTCTGTGGAAATCTTAAGCTTAGCAAGGTATGAACAACTAAGTTTAGAATTATCATCCATCGACTGTTCAAGAGGAGTTGGTGTTTCAAAGAGTAGTTCAGGAGTGTTGGGGCTTTCCTTTACAGAAGGAATCTTAGGCCTTATTTCAGCAGTTTTTGTCAAAATAGTGTCAGCACTCTCATCACACACCTCCCTATTTGATACATCCTCAACAGGATCTTGCACTGAACGCTCATCCTTCTGGAAATGGGAAGGTAATTCCCTTTTCAGGGAACCACTCTGTCTCTTCCACATTTCAGCTTTGGACTCCCATCCTCGACCATTCATCATCTGTCTGTTCTCATCCCATTCAGCTCCGCTATAAATGTGAGATTCATCCCTAAACATGCCGTTATTTCCATCCCATACATGTAAGTGAGAAGGGCTTGAACCATCCAACATATTCTGCCACCCTAGTGGATGCATGTGACTGGGAAATCTTTCAGCATCAGGCAGCCGATAAGGAATTCCAGAGTGATTGATTTCAAGTGGAGGTCTAATACCAAACAAAGGTGGTGCAGGAAACTGTGGCATAATTGATTGGAAACTTCCATGAGGAGGTCCATGCTGGAAAGGGATAAAGCCATTTGGTAGTGGTGCTGTCCAGTTTGGAATGCCTCTCCAAGTGTTTCCATGTATTCTACCCGGATCATTGCCCCATCTGAAACGGCTATTAGAATTGAGTCTGCCATCATCTTCTAGTGAACCATCAAAAGGAATGTCAATTCCACCCCTAAAACCAGGGCGTGGATGGAATGGTGATGGATTGCTCTGACTACCTTTGCTAAAATAGGGCTCTGCCAGAGATGAATCATCCATCGGAGGTGGAGGCTTCTCTCCTTGTAATTCCCAGCTATGCCTATCCTTACTAGAGGAGAGGTCTTTGGCATCAATAGAAGTGCTGTGCCTTCGTCCACTTTCTTCAATGTCAACATTCTGAAAAACATACGAGAATCGTTAGCATTTATGAAGTCATTCACCAGTGAAGAGATCTTTTTGACAAGCTCAATACTGATAGATACCTTACAATTTAAAGACCTATCTCGTGACAGTTCAATAGCATTGCCACCATCTGTTTCACCAGTTTTATCCGAATAAGTGTACTTGGAACTCTTATCTTGTACTCCTGACAGAACACCTTTATCTCTAGTAGAAATGGACTTGGACCTCTCTTCCTTTTTTGGGTATCGGTCTCTCAAATCTTCCTGGTCTTGATGCCTAGAAGGAAAAAAATGAATAATAAATGAACATCCCATTGCTTGAATAATTCTTGCAACACAAAGTAAATTACCCACTTGCAACAAACTAAATAAAATCTAATAAATCTTCTTGCCTGCCTTCTGATCAAATTAATAAGTGAAAATTTATGGTTGAGACATAGACAAGGAGTTGAATAATAAGGACAAGCATAACAAAATCGCTATCAATGGTTGCATCATTTCCTATCAAATCATTCCAGAAAAGAGAGAATGAGAAAAAATCACTACAC